TTTGGTCTTATTCATGTTGTGTTAGGTTTTGAACATCAGTTTTGATTGGAGAATGTAAAGATGTGCAATTTGGTCTTTATAGAACATAAAGTTCTGTTGGTGTTTGTGTTAAGTGTGAAATACATTCATGTAAATTGAAAGACGCCATTGAATAAAAAAATTCCAAAGCAAAATTAAATGATCCACAGTTTGTCACATAAGCCCATTTCACTCCGAGATTCTAGAAAATATACTGATAATTTGTCCCTTGATCTTTTGATTTCTGTTCATCGACAGTACCAGGGATTACAGTATTGTAAACATGGATAATGTAACAAACTGCAGTTAACAGTAGTTTACTTCTTGTTTTTATTTATTTATTAAATACATTTTTACAAAAGAATATGTTACAAAATAAATTTGGAAGGGTAAATCCCAACGTTTTCTCTAGTTTATTGTAGTTTATTTGAGAAGTTGCACAGATTCTTGAACATTGGTAGCTGTATTTGTTAGCACTCAGGCCACTTCACCTAGACACCTTGACACCTAGACACTAGACCAAGCCATCCTGCATTGATATGTTAATTAGTGTGGGGGAGGGCGGTGTAATCACACACAAAGGAAATGTCCTAAGTTAGAAAATCAAGGATAGTATGAGTTATGGTCAGATCATCCAATTATTTATACCACAGTCTTGAATATCTTTTATTTTTAGAGTTTATTTGACAAATTAGGTTTTTAGTTCTGTCTCTGTGACCCTCTCACTTCACCCAAACCTAGAAGTTGATTTAGATCTTTTTTTTTCAATATCAGTGGTATTGTGTCTGCTATTTTATAAAGAAACATGTCTGCATTTTTTTGCAGCACTGTAACTACACAGTTGTTTTGAACATCAGTTGAATGAGTAAATCAAACACTTAATGAGTGAAATATTTCACAATTTTGAGTGAAATATCCTGGTGTGATGTGGGGAACATATGATCCTTCTGTGTCTAGAGTTTGTGTAAATGTGTTTAACACTAATTCTTTCTGAGTGATAAATAAGGCCCCATTTGCAGCTGCTATTACAGGTTGCTTTTTTGTTGTTGTTTTTCTTTTTAGAGTTGTATTAATGCATTCAGTGACTACATCTTCCAAACTACATATTTCACTTTGACACAACACTGCTAAAACTCTGAACATAATACAACATTGAACAACTTCTCAAAACTCTTCACTCACTTAAAAATTAAGAATTAACTAAACACGAAAACAAGTCTAAGTCTTCCATATAAACATGAACCAACGAATTCTGAACAGCAAAAAATAGTGCATATTGCTGCCTGTTGTGTGTGTGTGTTTATTCAACGCATTCTCATCCTTTAACGTCATATAGAACGCTATATGCAAAAACGGCGCTATACTACGCACATGGCACCTGTTATCATTAATATAACACGTGCTGTGAGAGCTAAGTTTAGGTGTGGGGTAGGGTCTGCGTATCATATTTACGCTAAAGGATTTATGACGACTTGGGTTCGCGTGTTATATTAATGATAAAGGGTGCCATGTGCGTAGTATAGCGCCGTTTTTGCATATAGCGTTCTATGACGTTAAAGGATGAGAACGGTCTGGTTTATTATATGTATGAATGATGTGTTTTGGTAGTTTTAATGCGTTTTGAATGTGAAATGTACTGCAGTGAAGCTGAAGTGAAGAGCTTAAAAAAGTGATAAGTATTTAGAAATAAATACATTCTAATTTAATTTAATTTAATGGGAATATAACATTCTAATGTTGTGGGTTAACAGATTATGATTGGGTTACAAGCATCACCTGATGTCAGTCAGGATAAAAATGTAATGATAAAAAATAAACAAATCTGGGTAATTTAAGCCCTAAGGGAAACAAGGTTGTTGTTTTTTTTTACTGATATTGGCCAATATGAGGGACCACAACCCATAAGATTGGTCTTTCATTACAGAAAAGAGGCTCTCCAGTTTGATGGTAAAGGGAACAATGTGTAATTGCTGCTAATATACTGTTATATACTGCTGCTAATATGCTAATATCAAATAATGTTATATCTTTTTATAATTGTATTATGAAATATATGCCTTGTTAAAAAGAATTGAAACATGTTCATAATTGAAACCAAAAGGAGAATTATAAGCATTCCCCAGACTTACTGCTGCCATTGCATTTTATTTATCTAGAGTCTAGATCATGTACAGTTTAGCTTGTGTGGAGACCTGCAATTATACCTTAAAGAGATATTTCTGCTTGATTTTATTGAGTTGATAAACTAGATGCAGTTACGGAAGATATTTATCACGTTTTGAAGGCCCATCTAAAAGCACACCTAATCCCGCATAGATCTGAATGCAGAGAAGCTCCTCAAAGCGATGCTGGTGGTCTTAAAATTATCAGTGGGGAAAACTATCACCTCAGTTTTGTGTTCATTTAAAGACACAATTTTTTTGCAAGCAAAGATGTAACCTCATCTTAGCATAATAAAAGAGAAATGGAAGCAGACGGATCATTTCTCTCAATAGGTGTATATATATTGTGGTGTCTTCAGCATAAGAATGGAAGGCAACACCATGTCTTATTAAAATATAGAACCCAATGGTAGCATGTAGAACGAGTAAAGGGAGGGCGCCGAGATCGATCCCTGTGGAGGTGAGCGACAGAACAGAAGAAATGACCTATCCTGAACAAAAACTTTCTGTTCCATAAATAAGATTGAAACCAGTTAACTGTTAAAAAGATAATTGAAGTAATTTTCAAACTAAAGTAATATACACTGTAAAAAAAAAAAAAAATCATGATTTGTTATCATAACGTTGTTTCTTCTGTCAAATCAACTTAGATAATGTATGTGGTTCAGATAACATAATATTTTGAGTTTCTGATTATAAAATCAATCTCCTTCATTGTATTAAGTCAATTTTTCAATTTCAATGAACGTAAAGTTTCAAGGCAACCAGGTAACTTCATTTTTTAAGTTAAACCAACAATAATTGTTTTACAGTGCACACATATCAGTCAAAACTGCTTGTAAAATGTAAAATATAGTCAAATACAACTATTTGTATATTTGTCAAATACAACTTATCAGTAGGCAATAAGCTTAAATGGGATATGTGGACCAATCATATACTGTAAGTATAAAGCCACAACAGAGAATTAATTTTTTAAAGCAATAACTTTCCTGTATTGTCCACAACATAAAGCTTCTGATGTTTTATAGGAATTTCATCGAAAGTGTTATGATATTCTGTATTATTTGTTAGTATGGAATTGCTACTGAGGTACAGACAAAATTATTAAGAAAAGTAACAATGGCAAGTAAATTGTTAGGGACTGCTATAACCAAGCATAGACAGTATCTATGAAGAGAGAGCGTTAAATAAGAAAAAAATAATATTATGAATGATAAGAGGCGTCTTCTCGCCTCTGCTTTCGAACTGTTGCCGCTGGGCACTTCATAATAACTGCATGCTATTAATCATTAGTTAATCATTAGTAAATAGTTTATCTGTAATTTATAAAGCATTAATAGACATTAATAAGAAGTTTATAAATACAGCTATAAATGCTCTATTCTTGTGTAAATGCTTTATTCTTTATTTAGAAGCATAATATTTGTGTTTAATCATTGTATTTTCATACTTTATTAATGATCAATTTATAATTTCCTAATGAAGAATAACATTATTTACAAACCAGTTATTTAGGAGTTGTCAGTGATTCATGAGATCACTTAAGTGTATTTAAATGTAGTAAATGCAAGAAGTTAAGCATTTAGTAGTGGTCAGTTAACTTTTTTTGGCAGCTCATCTAAAGTGAGGAATAGTTATATCTTGTAAAGCATTCATAAATTAGATTTAAAGGCTCAGTTCTCTTCTAAACAGAAAAAGGAAACAAACACAACACTTTGAACATAAAAGAACATACAAATATTTAACTGAGCCTTTGAAATCTCTTTTATAAATGCGTTACAAGGCATAACAGGTCCTCACTTTAGATGAGCTCACAAAATAGTAAACTGACCACTACTAAATGGTTGATAACTACCTGAATTAACCTTGGATTACAGTAGAAATACATGTTAAAAATGTATTAACACACTAAGTAACTATTACTATATGTCTGAATAATAAGATGCATGAATGCACATTGAAATAGTTTATTAATCATTTACTCACTTTCTAAGTGATCTTATAAACCACTGACAACTCCTAAATAACTTTATATTGGTTTATTATTATGGTTTATAATGCTATACTTCATTTAGAAATCATAAATTGTTCATTAATAAAGCATGGAATTAAAATGATTAAAACACATTATAGATATGCTTTTAAACCAATAATCAGCAATTTATAAAGACAGCTATAAAGCTATAAATTCTTTAATATTGTTTTAAAAGCATATCTATAATGTGTTTTAATAATTGTATTTTCATTAGTTAAGCATTTACTATTGCTTAACTAATGATTACTAGTGTGGGGTTATTAAATTTACTGAAAGTACCTTAACTAAGCAGCTCTACAGTCTCAGAGGCTTTGGGACAGCCAGCCATTCAGACAATAGAGAAGTGTGAACGACGTGTGTTAATGGGCCACTGCAGTTCCTGCTCCAGCCTACAGGAGCGCTGCTGAGTATGGGCTTAAACACACACACGTGTGTTAGTCCCCACTTGGTCAAAAGTTAAAAAAATTCACCAGAGCGTTTTTTAGTTGATTTTAACATGTTTTAAGGCATAGCTAACAGGGGACTTGAAAAATGTCCCCACTTCCCTCGGCGGTCCCCTGTTGGTGAGTGTGTAACGACACCAAAGTCCCCTCTTAGATAGGTAGACAAGTACACACACACACACACACACACACAGTAACTTCATATACAATAAAACAATACACATATTGTTTATAAAATGTTAGAGATTATGCAAATGTTTAAAAGTTTCATGTAAACTTTACTTGACAATCACATTGATGATTAGAAATATTGGAATAATTATGAGTTTAGTGTAAACATTATTATATTTGCAGGCCTGATAGTGAAGATTTCTGCTGACACTCATCTGAGCTTCTTCCTCTGTTCCACCTTTAATTACAACTAAACCATCATTTGTCTGAATATAATAAACCAACATTAATCATTCAATATCACATGTTTCTAATATGCATGCTAACACACACGCTGCTTTATTTAATAGTGAAGTCTGAGTCTCTTCCACCTGTATGAAACACATTTACACATGTATTTCTCCTCATAGACAGCAGTGAGACTCTTCTGTGGATCACCTGATGGTTTCTGCTCCTCTCATCTCCGTTTCACAGATTTAAACCATGATGGAAATCCACTGACGTTTGGTGATCGATCTTAATGTACACTGTGGAACAGAAGAGAAAATAATCAGTGTTCAGAGGAAAAAAGTACAAATTATAATATTTCAATTACTGCTTTTTGAGTAAAAATAAGTTCAACTGAATTCCTGTAATCAGATTAATTACTGACTTCACAAGATATTGGATAGAGATATTTGTGTTTTTAAATATAATAGATGTAAAGCCTGAATCATGTTCATGCGTGTCTGTGTGTGTCGGTGTGACTCCTATTGAGTCTCTGTAAAGGAGAAACTAATGAGTGTACGGCGTATGGAATAAACCACAGCGAGCAAATCCTAATGCTATTTTGAGTTAAACACAAACCTTTAGTTAAAGCCGTTTGTCCTCTAGTTTAAACATGTTTGTAGGCTCTTAGTAAATAACTGAGAGTAAAGTAAGTGTAGAGTAGTGTGACGTGTTGCTTGTCACAGTAAAAACACACTAGAGACAGAGACATTGCTCATGTGAGCTGGACGCTGTGAGCTGAAGCTGGAACTGCACTGATTTTAGCAGGAGTGCAGCGTTTCCTACAATCTGACCAAGTCTGTTTCACACTCAAATGATTCACTTCTACTGACACAGTGTCACGATTCATGAATCGGCTGTCTCATGCTTATGTGTCTGTGTGAGTGTAATTGTGTGAGTGTGGTTACTCGTTGTGCTGATTAGTGTCACCAGCTGCCATTCATTTCAGTTCATATATATACCCAGCATTTTCTCCCTCTTGTCAGATCGTTGTGGTTGTTATTCGGTGTGCTCGTGCCTCGTCTGTTTCTCATCAGTTCTTCGTGTTACCTGGATTTCGTCAGTTCTTCGTGTCGTCTGGATGTTCCACTTCCCTGGGTTTCACTCGAGCACGTCATCATCTGTTTTCATCACCGAATCGCCATCTTGTCCCTGCTTCACAACCACCTGAGTGTTGTCCGCGATCTGTGTCCTACATTTGTTACATCTGACCTATCATTAAACTGAGTTACATTTGCATCTTGCATCCTCCCATTATTTCCTCACAGAACGATCTGACCAAACCATTGATGCAGCAAATTCATCACAGCTCAACGACTTCATCGCTCACAGTATCTCACATATGGATCAACAGGAAGAGAGTATCTCTAGCACAGGTCGTGCGGTGCAAGCACTTGTGAAGCAGGTGTCCGAGCTCACCCAACAGGTACAGCTTCTACGGACTCCCACTGCGCCCCCCACGCCGCCCGTCCCCCCACCACCAGCGCCTGCAGCAGCGGGGAGATCAGAGCCACGCCTACCCACACCTGAGGGATATTCCGGTGAGCCTGAGTTTTGCAGAGCATTCCTCACAAGATGTTCTATGCATTTTGCCTTACAGCCACACACTTTTCAGAGCTAACAGGCGAAGGTGGAATTTGTATTAACCCTGCTGTCAGGAAGAGCATCGCTTTGGGGGACGGCGGTGTGGGAGAACGGAGACAGCTTTTGCACCTTGTTCCAGGCACTCTTCGAGGAGATGAAGAGAGTTTGACCGTGCAGTGGCGGGTAAGGAGGCGGCCAGATTACTCGTCGAGCTGCGACAGGGAGAGGGCTTGGTGGCGGACTTTTCCATCCGGTTCCGCACCCTGGCACAGTGGGATATGTTCCTGCATGGGTTGGCTGACCACGTTCAAAAAGAGATCTATGCTATGGATTTACCTGAGACGCTGAATGGACTGGTGGAACTTGCGCTGAGAGTGGACGCTCGACTGTATCATGTAACCAGACTGGTGCGCCCCAGCCGCCCACTGTTCAGCGCGGAGGACCACCAACCCGGTGGTGCGAGCGCGGTCAGCCTCGCAATCGACCACGAACCCATGCAGGTGGGGAGAGCTCGGCTTTTCCGGGAGGAGAGGGAGAGGCGGAGATCCCAAGGAATCTGTCTCTACTGTGGCCGGGCGGGCCACTTCACCCAATCCTGCCCAGTAAAATAGCAAGCCCGGTAGTAAGTATGAGGCGACTATCGGGTGGGATCTCCGCCGAGAAGACCTCATCAACATCAACCCTCCTCCCGGTAAGACTGAGATGGCGACAATCAACGCACTGCACCAGCGCACTTCTGGATTCGGGAGTGGAGGGTAATTTCATGGACTTCAGACTAGCACATAGACTTCAGATCCCCGTCACCCCCCTCTCGCACCCGATTCTCGTCAACGCACTCAATGGTCAAGAACTTCCCCGCATCACTCATGTTACTGAAGACATTACCCTCATCACTACCGGAAATCCCACTGAACTCATTTAATTTTTTCTCATGGACTCACCACTTGCACCAGTGGTTTTGGGTCACCCGTGCTTTCCAAACGCAACCCCCGTGTCGACTGGTGCAGTAACACTGTTTCCACATGGAGTAACCACCGTCATGAGTCCTGTTTAGTGTCTGCCTGTCCATCTGTGTCTGGTTCTGTGTTTCAGAGTGAGGTAGCGGATTTGTCTAATGTGCCCGCGGAGTACCACGACCTGAAGGAGGTGTTCAGTAAGTCTCGTGCTGCTTCTCTTCCTCCGCATCGTTCCTATGACTGTGCGATAGAGCTACTGCCAGGTAAATCTCCGCCTAAGGGCAAACTTTACTCTCTTTCTATTCCCGAGAGGGAGGCCATGGAGAAATATATTTCTGATTCTCTGGCCTCTGGGTTAATCCAGCCTTCCTCTTCTCCTGCGGGGGCGGGGTTCTTTTTCGTTGGGAAGAAGGATGGTTCTCTGCGACCTTGCATTGATTACAGAGGGCTGAACAACATCACGGTAAAGAATTCATACCCTTTGCCGTTGATGTCTTCAGCTTTCGAGAGGTTGCAGGGAGCATCCATTTTCACGAAACTGGACTTACGTAATGCATATCATTTGGTCCGCATCAAGAAGGGGGATGAATGGAAAACCACTTTTAATACCCCTAGGGGGCACTTTGAATATTTGGTCATGCCTTTCGGTCTGTCCAACTCCCCAGCGGTTTTCCAGGCACTCGTTAATGACGTGTTGAGAGACATGGAAGATCAGTTCATTTATGTTTACCTGGATGACATATTGATTTTTCTTCGTCTCTCCAGGAACATGTTCAACACGTCAGGCGAGTGCTCCAGAGACTGTTAGAGAATGGGCTTTTTGTCAAGGCGGAGAAATGTTCGTTTCATGCACAGTCTGTTCCCTTCCTAGGGTTTATAATCTCTTCTGAGGGAGTGCGTGTGGATCCTGACAAGGTTAAGGCTGTGGTAGATTGGCCAAGTCCAGATTCCCGTAAGGCCCTACAGCGGTTTCTGGGGTTCGCCAATTTTTACCGACGTTTCATTCGTAACTTCAGCCAACTAGTCGCGCCTCTGACTGCCTTGATCTCCCCCCGAACGACGTTCAGGTGGTCAAACACTTCTGAGGCAGTGTTCACCAACCTCAAAAGTCGCTTTGTTTCGGCTCCCATTCTTGTCACCCCTGATCCCACACGTCAGTTCGTGGTGGAGGTCGACGCGTCAGAGGTGGGAGTAGGAGCAGTACTTTCACAGCGCGCTTCCTCAGACGACAAGTTGCATCCCTGCGCATTTTTTTCTCATCAACTATCGTCTGCCGAAAGTAATTATGACATTGGTAATAGAGAGTTGTTGGCAGTTAGCATTGGAGGAATGGCATCATTGGTTAGAGGGTTCGGGGGTACCCTTTATCGTTTGGACCGGCCATAAGAATCTTGAATACATCAGATCTGCTAAAAGACTCAACTCCAGGCAGGCTCGGCGGGCTCTTTTTTTCGGACGCTTTGATTTTGTTCTCTCGTACCGCCCCGGGTCCAAAAACATCAAACCCGACTCTTTATCTCGTATTTTTTAACCATCCGAACGCCCGGTGACTCCCGAGTGTATTTTACCTGAGAAGGTTGTCATCTCCACTCTGGTATGGGAGGTCGAATTGAAGGTCATGACAGCCTTAGATGGGGTAACGCCTCCGCCCGGTTGCCCACCGAGTCGATTGTTTGTTCCGGAGGGGTTACGGTCCGACGTTATTCGGTGGGGTCATTGCTCCAACGTGGATTGTCATCCAGGAGTGACTGCTGCCTGTCCCTTCGAGACCCTGGTCCCACATCGCTCTAGATTTTATCACCGCCCTCCAATGGCATAACGGTTGTTTTAACCGTAGTGGACCGGTTCTCGAAGGCGGCACATTTCATTCCCTTGCCCAAATTACCTTCAGCCAAGGAGACAGCGGTCACTGTTTTTCGGTTACATGGCCTCCCGATGGACGTGGTCTCTGACAGGGGTTCCCAATTCATATCCAAATTTTGGCAAGAATTTTGTAAATTACTGGGGGTCACGGTCAGTCTGTCCTCGGGCTATCATCCCCAGAGTAATGGACAATCTGAGCGAGCCAATCAAGACCTCGAAAGAATGTTGCGATGTTTGGTTACCAAGAATCCGTCATCCTGGAGTCAACAACTTTCTATGGTGGAGTACGCCCACAATTCATTACCAGTGTCATCCACGGGCCTCTCGCCATTTAAGTGTAGTTTAGGTTACCAGCCACCAATTTTTCAGAGTCTGAAATCCGAAGTCGCGATCCCCTCCGCTCACGCATTCGTCCAGAGGTGCCACCGTACTTGGACTAGAGGCCGTGAGACTCTACTCCAAGCAGGGAGGCGTATGAAGGCCAAGGCCGATCGCCACTGGTCAAAGCCTCCCGTCTACGTCGTGGGTCAAAAAGTGTGGCTTTCTACCAAGAAATTCCTCTCCGCTCCGTGTCTAACAAGTTAGCTCACAAATTTATTGGCCCGTTTCCTGTCACCAAGATTATTAGTCCAGTGACAGTCCGCCTCAAACTTCCTTCTGCGTACAGGAGAATTCACCCCGCCTTCCATGTGTCAAAAATCAAACCCGTGTTTCGTTCTCACATTAATCCGCCTGCCCTGGTCCCCCCCCCCCCCCCCCGCCGCGACTCGTAGATGGGAAACCAACATATTTGGTAAACCGTATTCTGGACTAAAGAAGGAGGGGACGCGGATTTCAGTACCTGGTGGACTGGGAGGGTTACGGTCCGGAGGAGAGAAGTTGGGTACCTGCTAGAGACATCCTGGATCACTCCCTTATTGATGATTACAATCGACAGGTAAGGGAGTCTGAGAACGCCAGGAGGCGTTCTTAGGAAGAGGGGTACTGTCACGGTTCATGAATCGGTTGTCTCATGCTGATGTGTCTGTGTGAGTGTAATTGTGTGGGTGTGGTTACTCGTTGTGTTGATTAGTGTCACCAGCTGCCATTCATTTCAGTTCATATATATACCCAGCATTTTCTCCCTCTTGTCAGATCGTTGTGGTTGTTATTCGGTGTGCTCGTGCCTCGTCTGTTTCTCGTCTGTATGTCATCAGTTCTTCGTGTTACCTGGATTTCGTCAGTTCTTCGTGTCGTCTGGATGTTCCACTTCCCTGGGTTTCACTCGAGCACGTCATCATCTGTTTTCATCACCGAATCACCATCTCGTCCCTGCTTCACAACCACCTGTGTTGTCCACGAGTGTTGTCCACGATCTGTGTCCTACATTTGTTACATCTGACCTATCATTAAACTGAGTTACATTTGCATCTTGCATCCTCCCATTACTTCCTCACACACAGTTCATAAAGCAGGTGTTGATGTATAAAGCTGTGACAGTGAGCTTTTCTTCTCTCTCCTCCTTTGTGTTCAACATTTCAATAACTTTACATTATGTTCTCACACAAACCCTTTGTTGCACTAAATCTTAATGATAATTTCCTTTCACGAATGTTTGAAAGGTTTGTTCACATATCAGAGGTAAATGAAGATGTTTTTAATATCTCAGTGATGTTTCCTCACCTCAGGACACAGTTTGAGTCTCGTAGCTCGTCTCTGAGCCGCCGCTTTGAGTCTCCTATCTTATTGTCACTCAGATCAAGCTCTTTTAAAAACTGCAGTGCTTTTGAGTTAGTCAAAGACTGAGTTAAAGAAGAAACATCTGTAATGCCACAGCACTGTAGACTAGAGAGACACAAACAGAGGAAGAGAGATTATCTTACAAACAAATCATGAATGTGAAGAATTTTACACATATATAATGTGAAGTCAGACTCACTGTCAGATATTGAGTATAACGTGTTTTAGTTTAAACAGTTGAAGTGATTTTAAGAATTTTGATTCTTGTGTGTGAATGTGACTGACCTCAATCTCTCCAGTTTACAGTGTGAATCCTTCAGTACGGCACATAAGTGCTTCACTCCTGTGTTTCCTAGATTATTCCCGGTCAGGTTCAGCTCTCTCAGGTGTGACGGGTTTGATTTCAGAGCTGAAGTCAGGATGAGACTCTGTTTCTCTGTAATACTGCATACACTCAGACTGAAGACAGAGAAATAACAATAGTTCACATTAGGGGTGGCACGGTTCACAAAACCCACGGTTCGGTTTGTATCACGGTTTTAGGGTCACGGTTTTCGGTTCTGTACGGTTCTTGTTATTTTTTCTTTTAATCTTTAACACTCCAGAAATGTACTTCAGCATGTGATATATAGCTTAATTATCCACACTTTAGGATACAGTATTAAAAATATATATATTATATTCATGCAATCATGCACAAACTGAATTTGACTCTTTGACTTTAAGCACATTTTGGGACTAACCTTAGAGGAAAGCTAGGTGAGATTTAGATACAGCAAGAGAGAAGAAATTGACATGCTTTTTGTTTATTTGGCAAAAAAAGGAGAATGTGTATCACTATCATACAAGAACTTGTGCATTTTTATCACATAAATCTTATTTACACAAAGAAATTAACTTTCATGTATCAACTGCTAACTTTTGTAGCTCTTACCAAAATTCTATCTTTTAAAAGAAAAAGAGAGCAACTCTTAAAACACTGTCTTTTAAATGTCAATATACATGAAACCTCATTGCCTATAGATAATTAAGCTATAGCAATAGCAAAGGCCATAAACATAAAGTGAAATTTAAGTTCAACCTCAACACAAAAACAGTATCAACAATGCTTCTATTCCCAAAATGTGAGGGTACTTTTTTCCACTTAAAATTAAAGTGCAGGGTTTGGAAACGTATGACTGAAGCTCTTATCTATACATAAAGTGCCACTGTAGTTAAATTAAAATATCATAACATGAAATCCAAAATGTTCCCACACACCGGACTTATACCATAGACTTATACGACGCTGGCGCGTCCTCCAACTCCCTCATCTCTCCCACTTGCCATTTCTCCGCGTGCCGTGACCTGCAGCGCTCCATACTCCACTTTTACTGGCTTGTTTATTAACTTGAACCGGCGCTGCACAGAGCGATCGGTAATGACATCAAATACCGCGAAAGTGATGAATGCATACGGAGCCGACTCGCGCTAGATTGATGTTATTCACCGATCGCTCTGTGCAGCGCTGGACCAGTCCAAGTCGAACAAGTTTATGTCGCGCGAAAAGAAAACACGTCACATACGGGCACGAGGTTACATTGCGCATGCGTCGAACCGTGAGACGCACACGCGCTCCGAACCGAGACAAGCGAACCGAACGGTTCGGTTGTTTTTAAATGTACCGTGCCACCCCTAGTTCACATCTATGATGATCATCTTATTGAAGAGCTACAGCAGCATTTAGTTTCCAATAGTCTGTTTTAAAACCCAGTCACACTAGTTCTGTGCGCTGGAAGACACTGTTTCTTCTCTTTCATTTCTAAAAAGACGTCTCTCTTCTTTATTCTCTGTAAAAAAATGCAGATTTCTGTGTACACAATCAGAACACTGTATCAAATGCTGGACATTAAACAATTACAAACTACACTCTACTAACTAGATAAAAACACACACACACACACACACATAAAAACGTGAGCAACAGGGAAACCCAAAAAGTGCACTGCTATAACCAATGAAACATAAGCCCTGCTGTCTTCAAATAAATAAACTTCAGTCACACTGTAATTGCTGTACAGTATAATGACACTAACTGTAGTTTCTCCAGCTTGAATTGTGGGTTCATCAGTAGATCACTGAGGTTTTTCACTCCTGAGTCTCCTAGTTTATTCCCGCTCAGGTCCAGCTCTCTCAGGTTTGACGGGTTTGATTTCAGAGCTGAAGTCACATCAGAACAACCTTCATCTGTCATATAACAGCAGCTTAACCTACATTAGCAGAGAGAGAGAAAATGAAGAAAATAAGAGACTCTTTATTCTGTAAAGTCACATCTTCATCAGAAAATAAAAAAGAGGAAGAGAGATCTTCATCTTTATTTCACCAGATCACAAAATACTAAGGTGAAAATGTTTGTACAAATATAATTGTGGCGAGCAGGACAAGGCAGAGGGACGTGAGAGATACGAGACCGATGAGTAGTGCAGGTGTTGCTCATTATCATTCACGACCCTGGGCCTCGTCCTGCTCGCCACAATAATGTTAATGTGTTTTAGTTTAAACAGTTGACATGATTTTAGGCATTTTGATTCTTGTATGTGAATGTGACTGACCTCAATCTCTCCAGTTTACAGTGTGAATCCTTCAGTACGGCACATAAGTGCTTCACTCCTGTGTTTCCTAGATTATTCCCGTTCAGGTCCAGCTCTCTCAGGTGTGACGCGTTTGATTTTAGAGCTGAAGTCACATCAGAACAACCTTCATCTGTCATATCACAGCAGCTTAACCTACATTAGCAGAGAGAGAGAGAGAGAGAGAGAGAGAGAGAGAGAGAGAGAGAGAGAATGAATGAAGAAAATAAGAGACTCTTTATTCTGTAAAGTCACATCATCTTCATCTGCAAATAAAACAGACAGAGGAAGAGAGATCTTCATTTTTATTTCACCAGATCACAAAATACATAGTGAAAATGTTTGTACAAATATAATGTTAATGTATTCTAGTTTAAACAGTTGAAGTTATTTTAAGAATTTTGATTCTTGTGTGTGAATGTGACTGACCTCAATCTCTCCAGTTTACAGTGTGAATCCTTCAGTACGGCACATAAGTGCTTCACTCCTGAGTCTTCTAGTTTACTCATGCTCAGGTCCAGCTCTCTCAGGTGTGACGGGTTTGATTTCAGAGCTGAAATCAGGATGAGACTCTGTTTCTTTGTAATACTGCATCTATACAGACTGAAGACAGAGAAATAACAATAGTTGACATCTATGATGATCATCTTATTGAAGAGCTACAGCAGCATTTAGTTTCCAATAGTCTGTTTTAAAACTCAGTCACACTAGTTCTGTGCGCTGGAAGACACTGTTTCTTCTCTTTCATTTTTAAAAAGATGTCTCTCTTCTTTATTCTCTGTTGAAAAGGCAGATTTCTGTGTGTACACAATCAGTACATTGTATCATTTGTTGGGAATTAAACAATTAATATCTACACTCTACAAACTAGATAAAAAACATAAAAATGTGAGCAACAGGGAAACCCAGAAAGTGCACTGCTATAACCAATGAAACATAAGCCCTGCTGTCTTCAAATAAATAAACTTCAGTCACACTGTAATTGCTGTACAGTATAATGACACTAACTGTAGTTTCTCCAGCTTGAATTGTGGGTTCATCAGTAGATCACTGAGGTTTTTCACTCCAGAGTCTCTTAGTTTATTCCCGCTCAGGTTCAGCTCTCTCAGGTGTGACGGGTTTGATTTCAGAGCTGAAATCACATCAGAACAACCTTCATCTGTCATATCACACCAGCTTAACCTACATTAGCAGAGAGAGAGAGAATGAAGAAAATAAGAGACTCTTTATTCTGTAAAGTCACATCATCTTCATCAGCAAATAAAACTGTCAGAGGAAGAGAGATCTTCATCTTTATTTCACCAGATCACAAAATACTCCAATCACAAAAATACTAAGGTAAAAATGTTTGCAGAAATATAATGTGAATTAAGACTCATTGTGAGATATTGAGTATAAAGTGTTTCAGTTTTTAAAGGTGCCATATAATGTGAAATTGAATTTATGTTGGCGTAGTTAAATAACAAGAGTTCAGTACATGGACATGACATACAGTGAGTCTCAAACATCATTGTTTTCTCCTTCTTACTTGAATCTCGTTTTTGAAAAACACCCCTGAAAAACCGGCGAATCTCCACATAATACCAACACTGACGCAACAGTCGGGATCATTAATATGTACGAACCCTAACATTTGCATATGCCAGCCCATTTTCAGTGACAGACGAAACGGAGCTGCGCAGCCGAAGCATGGCAGTTGATCAGTGTTCAGATGTACACATGAACACAAAAGTATATTTTAGTTCCTTCGTCCGAGCCTCTGAAGAAACAATGGATTAATTTTATTTTCTCTGGATATTTTCAAACATTTCACCGACGACTGTTTCCTCAACCTGCCAAGAGGCAGAGCTGGCCTCGGATCGAGCTGATGTGTTGTTGTTCAAGTTCAGACAGATAATCTTTCACTTTAAAATCATTCAATACTGTTTTTCCATCAGTAAGTCAGGCCAGTGATTAAAAATCAACTTCACATCGTTTCTTTTAGTAGGATGAAAAAAAATCGTATTTAAATTGTGAATTATATACAGAAAGAAAGCGATCAAAGAACAATCGCAGCGCGAGTTTATCTGGACACTTGCCAAATAATTCAATGACGCACGTTAGTACGCACAACGAAGCTCTAACTGTATTTGCATCATCGTGTCTGCTGCATTAGAGAGTAGAGAGACTGCATTGCAATGATAAGATCATCATTCTCGCGATCAAAACACTCACTGTCCTTGCTCAATGCTCATCACAGCAACACATGTGATGGGAATAGATCTAAATACTTAAAAAAAATCTCACGATTCGTTAATATCGATAGCTGTAATAGTAAAAACCTATAATAGCTGTAGTAAAATTATTCGAGAGAGTTTCACATGTAATACATAGCTATTTCATATGCAAGCATGTCAGCCAATCACAGCCGAGGCGGTTACACACAGCAGACACGCCCCTTCAAACAGAGTGTTCAAAGCAGAGGCTAAAATCAGGCTAGGAAAAATGCCTTTTATTTCTAAATTATGACTATTTTTGATCTAAAAAATATACTAACATTATAAGGGCAAGCCAGGAAACATTATAAAATAATTTTAAAAACCATTCTAGGGCACCTTTAAAATTTTGATTCTTGTTTGTATGTATATGCTTTCAGAAGATGTGATTGGCTGCTGGGGCTAGAGAGAGCGATTGGTTCTGAGCAACTCTGCATTTATTCATGAGAAAGAGCTCGTTCAATCCAGAGCAATCACTGTATTACACATGACATCATCGCATCACAGCGGAGAATTCAAACAACATGCGGATCATTAGAGCGGTTTCTGCCGCGATGAGTCATATAGTTCATATACGGACCAGAGCAAGTGCTTTTCAAGGTTTTTATGGACATATTTCATATCCTCTAGTGCTCTAAACATGAACCAGCACCGCTCTACTTCAAAATAAATATATGTGCAAATAAAAACACAGATACAGCCGTACATCTGATCATGAATGCGATGATACAATGGATTATTTTGATACACAGAACACAATGATGTAGACGACAATTAAAAGAACAATGGACAAAAAATGTACTTAACTTAAAGTTATTTTTTCTGTTAAACTGACATGTGTCGTTTTAACTTAACTTAAAATTATTTTTTCTGTTAAACTGACACGTGTCGTTTGTTCAGACTCAGAGACTATAGTGCTCATAACTGTAATGAAAATATTATTAGATCTTTTAAATATTCTTGTGCAATTCTCCCTCTTTTTATGAATGTGTTTTATATATGAAGAGTTCAGATGCAAAAGCCTCTAAGTGCCATTTAAAATTTTCTTCTAAAATGATCATTTTTATCAAGCTCGTATATTTAAGTTCAGTAATTTCACTTAAATGGCAATGAAGATTACCTATTAATTGTCATTTAAGTGAAATTACTGAACTTAAATATACAAGCTTGATAAAAATGGTCATTTTAGAAGAAAATTTCAAATGGCATTTAGAGGCTTTTGCATCTGAACTCTTCATATATTTATATATATATATATATATATATATCATTACATTTACTCTTTAGGCTTGAAAAGGCTTAAAGATAGAGATCTACTGTAAATTAGAAAAATGTTGGGGATGACTGAAAGTTTATGTGGGGTGTAAATATACTCATCTAATTTGCATATTACGACATCATCAGGGGTCGGCCCTCTTGAATTTCATAATATTCAGGAAATAGTAAATATTGAAGTGATGTTTGAACATATTTGCATGTTTTATATTTTTTTTATCCTCATTCCAAATGATGAGAAAAGAGGAAACCAACAATAATAGGAGGAAGTACTAAATTATTACTATAGAAGTAAAACGCATGTGAACAGTAGTCTACTTTTTGATCAGTTCATCAGTAATATTCAGGAAATAGTAGATATTGAATTGATGTTGGAATTTATTTACATGCCTTTTTTTTCTTTTTTTTTTTAAATCTTCATTCCTAATGATCGGAAAAGAGGAAACCAACAATAAAATAAGAGACTAAATTATTACTATATTACACAATGCTTTAGTAGTAAAACACATGTGAACAGTAGCCTAATTTTTGATCAGTTCATCAGTAATATTCAGGAAAAAAAAATATAGAGTTTTTTTTGTGGTCTTTTTATCCTCATTTCATATGGTCAGGAAAAGAGGAAATCAACAGTACAACTACAAGTAACTATAGTAAATTATTACTTTATTACTATGCCATAGTAAAATGCATGTGTCTATTTTTGGATCTGTTGACCAGCTATCTGCCCAATCAGGTATCTCGGTGACACAGTTTATAGTTTTTGAGAGTATGGTACCTCTGATTGCATGGAACAGCGCAAATACCTAAATCACACTGACTGCACCTGTCCCCCCAGCCCAACCCCCCAACCCCCTAGACGAAGGCCCTGAGTGGCTTGTGCGGATCAGGTGCACCCTTGGAGTAAATTATATGGGAGTTCACTACAGTGATGCCCAGAATCGCATTGAAGATGCAATTGTACCATTTCCTTGAACGTTGTCTACTCCTGACGTGTCTACTCCTCCCATGAAGGTGTTGTACCTGTCAACTCACACAGGTCTGTTTATCTCACGAAAACCTGTGTCACTTTGCTTTGACCTGATACGCTTCCGAACACGAGTTCCCATTAAGAGACGAGAGCGTAGTGAGACGCTTTATGTCATGCCATGCACAAGCTAACAGTTTGCCATGTCTCATGAACACTGGGTCATCTCCTTTCCTCAAAGGCAACTCAGTTTGTCTCAGACACCTCGGCATACCACGCCTTTTGCAGGTCACTATCCCACACATACCAGTGTCATTATGTGCCTCACTTAAAGCATTCACCTTGTAGCCATACTTGTCAGGTTTTTTAGGGTTGTATTTTTCAAGGTAGACTTTCCCTTGAATGCTATGGTAATTTAATCCAGAGAAAGCTCCTTGACTGGACCATAAACTGCTGAGAAAAGCGGAATTATCAGGTCAATTACTGGACGCACCTTGAACAGCCTGTCATGACCTGGCTGACCCCTCCCACATACTCACTATTGTTTGTGAAATGGAGGAAAGACAGAATGATCTCAAATCTGTTCCTAGACATTACTTTGCCAAACCCAGGAGTGTAAGTTGGCCAAAATTCTGCCCAGTAATCCTCAATTTCTCTGCCATCTCTACCAACCCCATACACAAATGCAGTGCTAGGAAGGCCTTCATCTCTGAGACAGAGACATCATACCAATTATGAAATCTGGAATTGGGTTTCAACTGCTGGGAGTCCTCCCATGCAACCCCCATCCCCGTTGGGAAAATGGTCAAAATTATCTGTTTGTGCTTTGTGAACAGTCACGCCTTGCACGGCGGCACCATTGTGCGGCAAAGATGTACCAGGAGAAGAGTGACGGATTATCTCCCGACTCTCATTAGTTCCAACTCTCATTAGTTCTGACTTTCTTTCATTAGTTCTCACTTTCTTTCATTAGTTCTGACTTTCTTTCATTTAATTCTGACTTTGTTTCATTAAAGTTCTTGTGTTTGGATTCACTCTCTGCTTCATTCGCGCCGGCGCGTAACAGCTATATGCTGCACCAAAATGACACATTTTACATTTTAGGAAATACAAATATTGAATTTAAGAACAGTTATGAAAATTCCTGATTCTGATGTCACAAAAAAAAACATTTTCTGCCTCTACAGTAACTAAAATAATTATTGACCCATTATCTAACTGTTTTAACCAAATATTTAAAGCGTGATATCACGTTTTAATTGTGTCTTTTTAATTTGCTGTTTAATTTTATTACTTTAAATTGTTGTGGCTCTGTGTGACACTGAGGAAAAAACTGCTCTGACTCTGTAATAATAAATGAGCAATACTCACGTCAGTGTGTTGAGTTGACAGTGTTTATCCTGCAGTAGAGCAGAGATCTGATTCACTTGTGTGTCTCCAAGTTTATGTCCATTCAGATTCAGCTTTCTCTGGAGTAACGGGTTTTCACCCACAACTCTATTCACATACTGACAGGCTTCCTCTGCAGCAGGACTCAAAAACCTGCACAACAGTCAATCCAGTTCTCAAATAAATGTCTGTTAATACGATACATTTTTATAATATTTCTTTGAAAATGTAAATACACAAATAAATATAAATTTTAAAGAATCTAGAGCGTCACTCAGAGCAAACTCATAAGAATAGAAACGTCTCATGAGCAGAGGGGCCAAAGCTCACTAGATCATAGTTTTCAGTATGAATACAGACTGTGAAATTAAGATCTGTCTGGCTTTTAAGCAGGAGAAATGAGAAACGTCAGCAAAGAGAAAACTGGCTTGTAAAACTGCATGTTTGTGAACATCTGGAGACTCATAGACCTGCTACAGAGAGATGCAGTGAGTCTGGGCTTGATGGAAAACGTCTCGGGTTATGACTATAACCCTTGTTCCCTGAGAAGGGAACGAGACACTGCGTTGATAAAATCGACTCTTTGGGGACGCTCCCTAAGCGTGCGCCTCTGAAGTATGAATGAAACTAATCCAATCCTGATTGGTGTTGCGTCGTGACGTAACATGTGACGGCATACCCGGAAGTATAAAAGTGACGCTGTCACAACACACACTAGCCTCGCGATGAAGCAAGACGCTCAAGGGTCTGAAAAGGGGGCGTGGCAACACGACGCAGTGTCTCGTTCCCTTCTCAGGGAACAAGTGTTATAGTCATAACCCGAGACGTTCCCTATCGAGGGAACTCAACACTGCGTCGATAAAATCGACTCTTTGGGGAACGAGTACCCACTAGGCCACGCACCGAACAGACCCGCCCCAGAGTGAAACTGATTAGGCACTCAGCAAGGGCCGAGTACGTGTGCACCGGGCGTACTGGGAAGGCTGAGACTGTAAAACCTGATGAAAGTATGCGGGGTAGCCCAGCCGGCTGCCTCACAAATCTCCTGCAGAGGTACTCCCGACAGAAGGGCCCTAGAGGAAGCCATGCCTCTAGTCGAGTGAGCCCTTAAGGCCAAAGGTGAAGGAACCCCACGCACCTTGTAAGCCTCAGTAATAGCCTGGACAATCCAGTTACTTATAGTTTGTTTGGTCGCCGGGAGCCCCCTCTTAGGTGACCCAAAGCATACTAACAACTGGTCAGATCTTCTCCAAGAAGCAGACTTTTCCAAGTATACACTCAAAGCTCTGACGGGGCAGAGCAAGTGAAGCCTCTCTTCTCCCGCCGACACATGAGGTGGAGGATGGAATGCCTGAAGGACTACAGATCGAGCCGTACTCGAAGGAACTTTAGGCACGTAGCCCGGACTCGGGTGCAAAAAGGCCTTTACTTTGCCAGGGGCAAACTCCAAGCAAGCTGGCGTTACCGCCAGGGCCTGGAGATCTCCCACCCTCTTAAGAGAGGTAATCGCTAAGAGAAAGACCATTTTCAGCGTTAAGTCCTTAGGCGAAGCCGACTCTAAAGGTTCGAAGGGAGCGAGCGACAACCCTTCCAGAACTATTGCCAGATCCCAGGCAGGCACCCTGGACCTGATCGCCGGCCTCATCCTCCAAGCACCACGGAGAAACCTAATGACCAATTGGTGCCTCCCCAGAGGTCCACCATCTACTGGCGCGTGGAAAGCCGAAACGGCAGCCACGTACACCTTAAGAGTGGACGGGGAGAGACCCGCAGAGAAACGATCCTGAAGGAATTCCAGAACTGAAGCCACTGGGCAGTTTACTGGATCCAACCTTCGTTCTCCACACCAAGTGTGAAACACCTTCCACTTGAGGCCATATAATCTCCTGGTAGATGGGGCCCTAGAGCTAAGTATGGTTTCAACCACCTCAGCTGATAAGCCAGCATTTAGGTACTGAACCCCCTCAGAGGCCAGACCCACAGCTTCCACAACTCTGGGCGAGGGTGGAAGATTGTGCCCTCCGCCTGAGACAATAGATCCCTCCTCAGAGGAATCGGCCATGGCGGAGCTATGAGGAGTGATATTATATCCGAGAACCATACTCGTGTCGGCCATCTCGGGGCAACCAGAAGTAGACTGATGCCCTCTTGACGGACCCTCTCCAGGACCCCTGGGAGCAGAGCGATCGGGGGGAAAGCATACAGGCGAAGCCTCGGCCAAGCCTGTACCATGGCATCCAACCCCAGCGGGGCTGGATGTGAGAGGGAGAACCAAAGTGGACAGTGGGACGTCTCTTGAGACGCAAACAGATCCACTTCCATCGGTCCGAACCTCTCCCATATCGACTTCACCACATCCGGATGAAGTCTCCATTCCCCGGGCCTCAGCCCCTGCCTCGACAGGATGTCTGCTCCCCGATTCTGAACCCCTGGGATATACATTGCCCTTATTGACAATATCTTTCCCTGGGACCAAAGGATAATCTGATGCGCCAGTTTGCACAGAGGGTGCGATCTGAGTCCCCCCTGTCGGTTCAGATAGGCCACCACTGACGTATTGTCCGTCCGTATAAGGACGTGGCGACCCTCGATGTCTGGGAGGAAGCTCCTCAAAGCCTTGAATACCGCCATCATCTCCAGGCAATTTATATGCCAAGTGCGATGATGGTCCTGCCACAGACCCCTGGTAAAGCGGCCGTCCATGACCGCGCCCCAGCCCGTAAGGGAGGCGTCTGTCGAAACGGTTTCCCGGCGACATGACACTCCCAACACTGGCCCTAGGGATAGGAACCAAGGCTTCTTCCATATTTGCAGAGACTGAAGGCACTTGCGCGTTACTCTGATCATACGGAACGGATTTCCTTTGGGTGAGAACCCCTTGGTCTTCAACCACCACTGGAGGGGCCTCATGTGAAGGAGGCCCAGAGGAATAATGTTGGATGCCGCTGCCATGAGGCCCAGCATCCTTTGAAAGTGTTTCACAGTGACGGCCTGACCTAGCCTCACCCTGGACACCATCGCCAGAATTGACTCGATACGTGCGGGAGACATACGTGCCTGCATCGTAATCGAGTTCCACACGACTCCCAAAAAGGTCGTGCCCTGGGACGGTTCTAGCACACTCTTCTTCAAATTGAGTCTTAACCCCAATTTTTGAATATGGCCAAGAACGACATCTCGATGCCGAACTGCCATCTCCTGAGACTGGGCCAAAATAAGCCAGTCGTCGAGATAATTCAATACGCGAATCCCCTGAAGTCTCAGTGGAGCAAGGGCCACGTCCATACACTTGGTAAATGTGCGGGGAGAGAGTGCTAGGCCGAACGGAAGAACCCGATATTGGTATGCTTCGCCCCCGAAAGCGAACCTCAGGTACCTCCTGTGACAAGGAAGGATGGAGATGTGAAAATAGGCGTCTTTCAGATCTATCGTGACAAACCAGTCCTCGGATCTGATTTGACTCACGATTGTTGGAATGGTCAACATTCTGAATTTGAACCTTCTCAGAGACCGGTTCAACACCCTGAGATCCAAAATTGGCCTTAACCCCCCATCCTTCTTTGGAACTATAAAGTACCGGCTGTAAAACCCGGACTCCCTGTCTACCGGAAGAACACGTTCTATGGCTCCTTTCGACAGCAGAGTCTGTACTTCTTGTTCCAACACCTGAGCCTGCTCTGGGACCACCGCAGTAAACACCACCCCAGAGAACTTGGGGGGGCGGTGCGCGAACTGCAGTCTGTACCCAACTCGTATTATCTGCAGGACCCATGGAGATATGTTGGGAAGATGATACCATCCCTCTACAAAATCTGCTAAGGGTACCAGCCTCTCGAGGCTGGCCTCTGGTGTCTTTTCGCTGGAAATTGATGCGGCCCGAAGCGCTGTTAACGGCGGACCTGCATCTTTTCCTAGAGGGCCCCGTTGTGAGAACAACCTCGGTTGTCTCACTGCGGAGGGGGCAGCCCTCTGAAGTCCTGCCTCGGCTAGGACCTCTTTTCCGAAGTCCTCTTAGCCTGAATGACGTCCCTCAGGTCGCCCCTCTGGCTGGAGGACTTCGGTTTTTGGGAGCGTTTCCTCTGTTGCCAAGACCCCGGAGGGGGGGCTCTAGAGGAAACGCTCTCCTTCTGCTCTGCCCTGTGGGAGGAGCTGGCTGATGGCTGGGGCTGATTGCTTTGCCCCCCCCTACTAGATTTGGCCTTTGCTTTCCGGGGGAGGTACTGCTGGAACGCCGCAGATTGTTTTCTCGACTCCTGAAACCTGTCGACAACCGAATTAACGGCGTCGCCGAACAGGCCAGAAGCCGAAAGCGGCGCATCCAGCAGGAAGGACCTATCCTTTTCTTTAATACCGGATAAGTTCAGCCACAGATGCCTCTCCGTGGCCACCATGGCCGCCATAGAGCGGCCAATAGCGCTGGCCGCTTCCCTAGTGGCCCGGAGAGACAGATCTGCGGCCTTCCTTAACTCCGCGACATCTTCAGGAGTAGGCCCCTCCCCCTCATCCAAATCTTTCAGGAGGTCGGCCTGGTATGCCTGCAAAATCGCCATTGAGTGCAGACACGAACCAGCCCGACCCGCCGCCATGTAAGCCCTGCCCACCAATGCAGATGTCTCTCTGCAGGGCTTACTAGGCAACACCGGGGTCTTTAGGGAAGACGCCGATTCGGGAGAGAGATAGCTCGCTAAAGCCTCCTCCACCTTCGGCATCTTCCCATATCCCATATCTCGAGCCCCCATAACATTGCTGTAATCTATTACATTGGGACTCGAAATACGGGACGAATGCGGTCTTTCCCACGTTCTCGAGACCTCTTTATGGAGATCAGGGAAAAACGGCAGACCCCGGCGGTGAGGCTGTGACCTGCGCTGCAGGTAACGCTCGTCCATTTTACTGGTGACTTGCGTTTCCTGCTCATGTTGTGGCCAGCTGATGTTTAGTCTGGCCACAGCGCGTGTCACAACCTCCACCAGCTCCTCATAACCCAGGCTGCGTGATGGCGTGCTGAGATCACGGTCGTCCGCATCGATGCTGAGCACGTCCCCTTCCTCAGAAGTAGACAGCTCAAGCACCGGGACCTGATCGCGGGTAGGAGAAACCGCAGCGCGGGCTCCCACACCACTCCCAGAGGCTGCGGGATCAGCCGATGGCGAGCGAGAAAATGCCTCAGCATTCTCACTCTCCTCCGCCAGATCCCGCTGCGAACCCCAGGATCTCAGTCGCCGCATCGCCTCGACATATGCGGGACCGGAACCCTGGGGAACGCGAGCCTGACCGTGCTCGTCAAAGCACGCCAGCCGGGAGCGCAGCACTCTAATAGGCAAAGCCTCACACATTTCACAAGCAGCCCCCTCGAGAGCTGCCCGTGCGTGCTGCACTCCCAAACAATACACACAGAGAGAGTGTGCGTCCCCACCCGTGATGAAACGAGGGCAGGGATGCACACACCTCTTGAATTGTTCACTGGCCATACTTTCTTTCAATAATAAGACAAACAACACCAAATAAGACAGACAGTTTCAACATAAAGCGCTTGCTGAAGAGCGAAAGCTAGTGTGTGTTGTGACAGCGTCACTTTTATACTTCCGGGTATGCCGTCACATGTTACGTCACGACGCAACACCAATCAGGATTGGATTAGTTTCATTCATACTTCAGAGGCGCACACTTAGGGAGCGTCCCCAAAGAGTCGATTTTATCGACGCAGTGTTGAGTTCCCTCGATAGGGAACTATTGTGTTCAGAAAACTATTTCACTAAACGGTTATCTAGAATTTTTATGAGAAGTGTGCACAAAAATAAATGTGTGCATTTTAATTATCAAGGTATATTCCAGAATAGCAGCACATACACCGACCCATAATGTCTATTTGATCTGTAGCTCGTATCACAACTGTGTTGACGTTTATCATCATCATGACAGAACCTGCAGCATCTGATCTGATCTTGATCATTTTGAAGCAACAAATTGTCAAGCTTATTGTACAGCTAAAATAATATATTAGTTATGAATATTTAGCCTAATTAACTGGTTTAGTTAAATATTTGATACTGTCTCACCTCAGTGTCTTCAGTTGACAGTCTGGATCCTGTAGTAAATCATTGAGCTGCTTCACTCCTGATTCTCCAGGATCATTTCCTATGAGATCCAGCTCTATCAGGTGTGAAGGGTTTGATCTCAGAGCTGAAGCCAGAGCTGTATAACCTTCTTCTGTCACACTGCAGTATGAGAGTCTAGAACAGGAATGAAAGCATTCAACTGATTAATCAGTTAAACCCCAAACAATATAAATCCTTAAACTTGAATTTTACTTTGTTCTTTGTACAAATGCATTGAAAGTTAGTTTAAAAAACTGACAACTGAATATGGAGGCAAACAAAAGGCACATAAATCTTTAATATGTTAGACATCAACATAACATGAGATTACAATTATCCAAAACTGTATAAACCCGTTTATCGGTCCAAATGGGGATTTCTGTCTGAACGGGTGAAGGTCTCTGCGTGTTACTTTCTTAATTTTATTATTTTATTATTTTATATGACACACAGTGATGTTTGTGTCTTGGCCTCTAATTTAACGTAACAAAACTCAATGAAGTGATTAACATCATCTCTTAACCAAGCAATGTCTCTAGACATATTACGCATCTCATTATGCATCATATCTTTCTATGCATGCTGCATGCTCACTTTCATAATCAACATTGATTAAATTAAAAAATAATATTAGTCTATAATATTTAAACAAACTAGAATCAGCCAATCGTCCAAGTAGTTCAAAACTCGCATGCCCTGAAATTTCAGGGGTGCAAGTGCTGCATCCTTGCACATCATGAATTTACGGGGTGCAAGAGACAGGCCGAACGGTACGACTGTGTATTGATAGGCCTGGCCCTTGTAGGTGAATTAAAAAAAAAAATCGCCTGTAACGCAACGCTATTTGTATCTGGAAAAAAGCGTCTTTCAGATCTTCAGTTGTCTTAGATCTAGAATGGGTATGAGACCCCCGTCTTTTTTCGGTACCAGAAAATATCTGCTGTATAGGCCCCCTTCACTCTGAGCTTGGGATAAAGGCTCTTTTGCCCCTTTGCTCAATAAGGTCGCCAGGGGCGTAGCAATCATTTCAAAAGTGAGGGGGACAGAATGTCAAGCATTATACCTTTTTTTTACAATTGCATACTGCATTTATATTGAATGGTAGGGCTGTGCCATATCATACCGTCCACGATAATACCGGTATAAAATTTTACATGATAAAAAATTGTCATATCGCGATATTGATGATATGATGACGTATGGCGTATTTACATTACTTAGCGCGTGCACAACAACACAGCAGCATGTCAGCCTCCGGATCAGATCAAGATTTAGTTCCTAAAAAGGGCGCTACTTCAATAGTATGGAAGTTGTTTGAGTACAAGAGGTCAGATCTCCAACAACACAATTATTATTTTTTTTTTTGGTCAAATATGCATGAAAACTCGTTTCACCACTTCCCTACTAGCGTACATTTTGCATTCGCCTAATCTTCCTTCAGAGTTTCCGCAGTTCGGGTACAACAGTCAACACGATTAAAGTCTTTCTAAGATGATTCAATGTTACTATTATTATATTTGTAACTAAAAGGTCTAAGGTTTCGCATAACACAACTTTATCTTGCTGGACTTTATTGCTGTAACGTTAACTAAATCATCATGTTACTTTCTACCGGCCGGGTGTCTGTTAGAGCAAAACACTAGAGTCAGAGCACTGTTGTTCATCACGCGCACAGTAACTGAAATGTAAAACTGTTAAAAGAAAGGACTCGATAAACGATTGCATAGCTAGATGCTGTATATTATACACGACACTACGCATCAATATTTATTTACTTTGTGCTTTGAACTGTTCAGTGCGGAGTATTCGACGCGCTGCGCGTGCGCGCTGTGACTCCGTGTTGCTTCAAGCGCATCATTCAGCGCTCGGGATGCGCATAAGCGCTGTGCGATATATTGGAGCCTTTCATATCATAATACTTTTGCGCAATGAAAGATTATTAATAGCCTTTGTTCTGTCCTATCGATCATATGTTGCTGCCTCATTAAACAGCTGTGCTATACATTTTAAACATGCCTCAATTTTATAGTAGACTAGGCTATATAATAATTAATCCTTTTGATTTGTTACCTTGTTTTTTTTCATGAATGTACAATACAAAGAGCAATGTGTAAAGTTTTACCAGATTAAGTGTTACAATTGTCTCTTATTTATTCCCCACTAAATGTTTTTTTCCCTAAATGTTCCGATTTTATACAATTATTGTATAAATTAGGTATTGTATACCTCATTTGATGCTAATCCAAAAGCTATGCAAGGCAACTGTTACATTTTGAAGGTTTGTTTGGATTGCCGCTGTTTGTTTAAATTTTTTGTACTTCAAAGTTTAGGTAAATTTTATTAGGTGACAATATTGTGCAGGCTTCTGAAGTTATTGTTAACATTGTTAATGTATTACTGTAGTTATTGTTAAAATAAAATGATAAGGAGTTATGTTATACTTTTTTTTGCACTAATGCTGCTGCCAGCCAGCTGCAATCACCAATAAAACATTGTTTCATATATATTTTTTCTATATCGTGATAAATATCATTATCGCAAATATTCTTGAAATATCGTGATATAATTTTTAGGCTATATCGCCCACCCCTATTGAATGGTAACACTTTACAATAAGGTTTTATTAGCTATCTATCTATCTATCTATCTATCTATCTATCTATCTATCTATCTATCTATCTATCTATCTATCTATCTATCTATCTATCTATCTATCTATCTATCTATCTGTTTTACTTACAGTAACCAAAACTGTCTTTCATATTGAAAACATTCAAACTTCATGCTTTTAAAACTTCTTCAAACCTTCTGGTAGGCTTTTTAAAGAAAACTTAACGTTTGTCTACAAACCTTTTTAATCAAATTGTAAAGTGTTACCTTATTATATGGTATACATCATGTACACATGTTACAAGTACAACACTGCATGATTCAAGCTTTTTTTAAAAGCCAGTCTATTACTTTTCACCTGTGAACTTTCTTTTTTTTTTGAGTGTCATCCTCTTTCTGACCTGACAACCCTAGGCTCCCTGTTTCTTGATCAATCTTGACAACACAGAAGAAGAAAAAAAACATTAAATTAGTGCAATTATATTATTGAACCCTATAAATTAAGACCTAAATCAGAACATTAATGCATACAATTGCATACTGCATTTATATTGAATGGTAACACTTTACAATAAGGTTTCATTATCTATCTATCTATCTATCTATCTATCTATCTATCTATCTATCTATCTATCTATCTATCTATCTATCTATCTATCTATCTATCTATCTGTCTGTCTGTCTGTCTGTCTGTCTGTCTTACTTAACCAAAACTGTCATTCATATTGAAAACATTCAAACTTCATGCTTTTAAAACTTCTTCAAACTTTCTGGTTAGGCTTTTTAAAGAAAACTTAACGTTTGTCTACAAACTGTTTTAATCTAATTGTAAAGTGTTACCTTATTATATGGTAAACATCATGTAGCTACACATGTTACAAGTACAACACTGCATGATTCAAGCAAATACGTTAGATAATGGCAGAAAATTAGGCAAAGTTATTCATCAATGACAATGAGCAACCAAATTCGGATACCACATTACAACTTACAGTTCTTGACTTTTTTGCGAAAAAAAGTGTGAAGTGTTTTTCGCCGTTTTGAATTCCTTTCGACCTTCGACGATGGATCCAGTGCGGGTGCGAGCACGGGCGTGTGGTGATCATGCACGAGCGCGAGTGACTGATTACCATGGCAACGTGAAAGTCACGTGTAGATACAGTAGATAGGCGATCTTTTCTCTTTGAATTTTAAATCTGTATCTATAAATACACATTGGCTCGCGAAAACCTCAACATGTCGTGAACACTTCCCCTATGAAAAAGTGCGGGGGACAAATTTACATTTTATAAAATGTGGGGGGGACACGTCCCCCGCGTAATCTACGCCCTTGAAGGTCGCTATTTCGGCTTGAAGTAGGTGTGCTATTCAGTTTACACTGTAGATTCGATGCGCGCCGTGCTGCGGCAAATAGCCTCTTTTATAATGTTCAGCACCCAATTCAAAACCCCAGGAAGCTGTGCCCACGCGTTTGCGTGAATGGCTAGGGGTAGAATGGGTTTTGGGCTCTGATCGTAACAGTGACGAGACGGGAGCTTTCGTGCGCTGTAACATGGCCACTGTGTTTACAGTGAGTGAGGCAGGGGGCGCGCCTGAAATGGCGGGCAGAAATGACTCGAAAAAAGATTAGTTCATTTTGCTGAACGAGACTCAAATATCCAAGTCAGTAAAATGATCCGAACTTCCCACTACTATTGTTTATGTCAGGCAGTTCCAGGAATGTCACATGATTATGGTTCTTCTTCGTGTGTACCATATATGGACTATACTGTGCAAAGGTCGCCCTCAGGCTGCTGGTATGGATTGAAAACACAGTACATCAGAGTATCCAGCGCTCATAAAAATTACATCGACGCAGTTGGGTATAAATTCAATAAATATTATTCTTGTCTATAGAAATATGATGTAAACCTATGAGAATCTATCGAAATTTTTCTCCAAATCTGCAAAGGTAAAGGTAACGACTCATTTTTTAATTACATAACTCCTGACACAAATTAAGACATAACGGTCCCTATAAGTTTCTCAGAATACAATAGAGGACAAATACTGAAACTTAAGTCTTATATTTTTTTTAAATTATGTATAGTTTGTCAAGATAATAACATTAAATATGATAGTAACTTTGAACTATTAAAAAAAAACGCTTCAGTGCACTGGCGCTCTGGCAACGGTTAAGAGGTTAATATGCTGCATATGTTGCTTGCAAATAAATACACAGGTGTCAATTCATGATACGTTGTCTTCTCTTAATTGTGATACTTAATGTACATTGTTGTTAAATATAGTTTAATAAGTAATGCTACATGATAAATAGAAGTCTTCAAATGGACCCTGTATTTAGCCGCATTTCCACTGCCGGGCTAGGGCTGGGCCAGAGCTAACAGCGAGCGGAGCCGAGCTAGTGGCCTCGGGCCTCAAGCACCGGACTTGCGTTTCCACTGCCGGGCCAGTAGCCCCACAGCGCAGCCCCAACCCCCACCCCTAACACGCCTTTCTGGATCAAACGTCATACAACCCAACCC